CCGCAGTCCTGCTCACCCCCAACTGGCTTCCCTTGTCAGCCTGCTTGCCCCCAACTTCTCCCACCGCCTGCCTGATCACTCCCAACTGCCCTCCCCGCCTGGCCTGATCACCCTTAACCACCTCTGCCTCGGCCCTTCCACTATGACTGACTGAGCAGCAGCCATGGAGCCTGTCTTGGATTCCTGGGTCTCTGGGGTGACCCAGGAAGCCAAGCCTCCTGCCTGCTCTGGCTGGCTCCGTGGTTCTGACCAGTGCTGCCATCTTCGTTGCATCAATTTGCATATTCCCTCCTTATTGGCTGTGGGCACCGCCATCTTTATCGCAAAGTGATGGTTAATTTACATGTTACTCTTTTATTAGATAGGATATTGTATTGGCTTCTCTTGATCTCTTGCCTTTCCATATTAAGTTTAGAATTTAGGTTGTTGATATCCACAAAATAACTTTCTGGGATTTTGATTGGGATCACATTGAATCTAAAAATCAAATTGGCAGGAACTGGTATCTTAAAATATTGAATTTTCTTATTTCAGTTATTCCCTATATACAAGCAATGAACAAAATAGAATTTGAAACTTTACACACACCATTTGCATCCACACCAAAACTAAATACTAAGATACTAATCTAATTAAATATGTACAAGATGTATATGATGAAAAGTACAACATTCTGATGAAAGAAATTAAAGAAGATATAAATAAATTGAGAGACATCTCATGTCAATGGATAGGAAGGAACTGTGGTATGCTTTCATGTTACTTAACATTTTCTTTGCACTTGTAATGTTTTGTTTATATAGCAAAAACAGTGCAGGGACTGTTTTTTGTCATATAATTCTTGTGTTTCAAGATTGAAGAGTCTTGTGTTACTACCCTAAGAGTTCACTGTTATGGATCCTCATTAACTTGGGTCCCTTTTAAGTAGCATCTTAGGTAACTTTTTGGGTTATTTGATTCAGCTGAAAATATTTAGCAAGGTTGTTAGATTCTTCCCATAAAATTTACTGGCTTAGCAGCAGCAGCCAAAGCAGTTCTCTAAGCATCCTAGTCTTCTTATATACAATTTCAGAAGGAGGTCACACACACTGGACCTCAGTCCACTTTTGTCACTTATAGATGCATAGTTTTGATCATGCTATATAATCACTCTGAGCCTCAATTTATTTATTTGCAAATGGTGATAGTATCTTCCCTTTTTTTGGTTTGAGAATTGGGAAACTATAAAGTAGTGTAGTGTCTTGCAAATGGCAGCTATTTTTATCTTAAGCATTTTGTTCCTTGAGTACTTAATACGACCCTGCTGTCTCTTCCCTATGCTTGTGTAGTTCTCACACATATAGAAGTGAGTTATATCACCATGGAGGTAAACTTTAGTCATTTATAATATCTTTAAATCTTTTCTATTTTTTTAAACAATAGAAACTATGTATTCAGTACCTAATCGACTGGACACCATGTTGAAAATATTTGAGAAACAGTCAAATATGTTAGAGAGGTAAGCTTTTAAAATAATTTTTTTCAATTATAAAACTGAATACGTATTTATTTTAGAAAAATTGGAAATAGAAGAAAATAATATTACTATTAAAATTTAGTGTTCTTACATCAATTTTTATGATACGTATAATTTTAAAGCTTAAAATTATAATCACACAGAATGTAAAATTATATAGTTACAATGTGAAATAGTTTATCAGCTCCTCAAAATTTTAAAAATATAATTACTAGATGATTCAGCATTTTCATTTCTGGGTATATAACCCCCAAATTGAAATTAACATCTTGAAGAGATATTTATACACACATATTCATTGTAGCATTATAATAAGAGCAAAGAAGTGGAAGTAACCCAAGTGTGCAATGATGAATGAATGGATAAAGAAAATGAAATATATAAATAAAATAGAATATGATTCAATATTTAAAAAGAAGGAAATTCTGACACATGGTACAACCTGAATGAACATTGGGGATATTATGCTAAGTAAAATGAGCCAGTCACATAAAGAAAAAAGTTTTATGATTTCATTTATATGAGGTACACTGTGTAGTCAAATTCATAGAGACAGAAAGTAGAGTGGTGGCTGCCAGGGACTGGGGAGAATGGGGGATAGGGACTTGTTGAATGGGTACAGAGTTTTAGTTTTTCAAGATGAAAGAGTTCTGGAGATTGTTTGCACAACAATGTGAATATTTTTAACTGTATTATACACTTAAAATGGTTAATAGACAAATTTTGTGTTATGTATATTTTAAAATTTAGAAAGTAAAAATTACAAACATACAAAATGTCACTTGTATATATATTTTTGACTTATTGATAATTTTTATAAATTCATAATTATTTTTAGGTGAATGATTTAAAGTTAAACATATTCAAAAAGTTCATATCACTTAGTGTTTTCAAAAATTTTTATTTAGATTCAACATTGAAAAAGTAGGAAGTTTTGCATGATCATATTTTCTAGTTATAAAATCCAGTGATCAACAATTAATAAAAGGTGTCCCAAAATTCATGCAAGAAATAATTTTGATAGAAAACACAGGTTTATAATTATAAATTATAAATTTTTATTGATTCATAAAGTATACAGTATAGGGTTATGTATGGAATAGCATATCGGGTAAATGGCCTCCACGGCTTTGCCGGCACATACGCACTCTTTTGTTATTGCCTGAGTAGCCGCATTTTCAAAGAAGAATGGTCCGATGATCCCTCCAGCCCAAAATCCACACCAAACAGTGACACGTTGTGAATGCATTTGTTTCTCAACAATCACTCGTGGATTTTCTGAACCCCAAATTTGACAATTTTGTCGATTAACCAAGCCATCAAGATGAAAATGAGGCTCATCGAAATTCAGCCACATTTATGCAAAACAGTCATGGAAAATTTCAACAAAAGTTTAAAGAAAATGTAATGAAAGTCCAGGAAGCTGCTAATAATGGAACTAAAGGATGTATGGCCAGATTTTTGGTATGTAGGCCCTATTTACCATTTTCCCTTTTTAGAATCCTTCCTATTAGAAGGATAGGGTAAGAACTTGCACAGCTTTGTCAGATGAAAGCTTTAACATGTTCTAGGGACATTATTAAAGGAGGAGGTTAATTTCCATGAATATTCTTTCCATTGGACCATGGTATTAAAAGACATGTATACTATTATTTATTCTAGCTCCTCATATTAGCTATTGGTGCTAATTACAGCTGGTTTTATAATTCCTGGGTGTAACAGAAAGCTGTAGAAAGAATAGCTGAAGGGGTTACTTTATAGGAGAGAATTTCCAACTCAAATTGTGTTATTGTCAAAATAAGCTTCATACAATTGTTTGGTTAGAATATCTTTTGTATATTTCTTTGCATGTCAAGAAATATCTTCAAAAGCACTATGGATGACCTATAGTTCTTTCTGGTGGCTAAGGTTATATTAGTTATACAACTGCTATGTTGAAAAAACACATATTGGGAATGAAATCACAAAGCTCTTTTTTTTCCTTTGCATTCATTTATATTTGCTAATTTGGGTTAATTTCCCCTTGCTCCTGAGTAAAAGTTAGGCTATTCTGATTACTCTTAAAGAATAATTCATTTACATCTAAGTCACAAACACTGCTCTAAGTATAAAATTAATATTTCTTGTCAAATACTATAGTCAATATTTTAATTTTTATTCAAAGTTAAGACTTCTCTTCCTCTCCCATCCCAGTATCCCAGCTGGAGCCTGCTGGGACATGTGGTTAGCTTTTAGCTTTTATATTTTTTAAAATATATTTTTATTGATTTCAGAGAGGAAGGGAGGGGAAAAGAGAAATAGAAACATCAATGATATTTCTTCATACCCTCTGCCTCCTACATGCCCCTTACTGGGTATTGAACCTGTAACTCAGGCATGTGCCCTGACCAGGAATTGAACCGTGACCTCCTGGTTCATAGGTTGATGCTCAACCATTGAGCCATGCCCGCCAGGCTGGCTTTTCTCTTTTATTGCTTTCTTCCCCATTAAGTAGTTGTGGTTTCTGTTCTTCATGTGTTTGGAAAAGGAGAGAAGAAAGGTAGGATATACAAGAAAGGTCTTGATTGTCACTGCCTTCCTTCTCTATAACTAGAGATAACATATAAGAATTTTTCTGAATATTCTGTTTAAAGTGCCTTTCTAGGCTTGAGATAAGGTTAACCATATTCATCCCTCCCTTAAGGGTTTGGGTTAGGGCCCAAAGACACCTGATAGTTCTCTACAAAGAAATACTCTTTCTAAATCTTCTTTCACAACTCTTTTATATTGTTCATATTGGTGAAAGGTTTTAGCACTCTTTCTTGAATGCCTATTTTTTTTCCAAGTGATAATAGTCATCTGCCTCACCTCATATTTTGATATGTGATGCTGTTAATATTCTGTTAAAATAAATACAGGATGTGTCAAATGTCTTAGTGTGGTTTTAAACTTTAAAAACTTCAGAACTGTAATAATACAAGTATTATAAACATTGCAGTTTGATTATATACATTTGTTTTGCACTTATTTAAAATTTTTTGAATACAAATTAAAAAAATATTTTTTTTAGTTAAATTTTTTTCTTGGGTCTGCATTTTCTATATTCAGTCAGAGAAATTGAAACAAAATTTATTGTTCAAAATTCACAAAACTATCTTATGTTAAGGAAGTGGAAATAATTAAGCTGTCAGATTTTTTATTTTTTATAAGTCATGGCATTTATATCTTTGAAGTCATTGGTGCTTAAAACTACACTAAAACTTTTAGAACATACTGAATTTATTGAACTTCTACCAGGTGGCTGAGTGCTTAGGTCAAAATCTTAAATCAAATTAGTCTGAGCAAAAGACATTTTATTACTAAGATTATGGGTAGTTCATTGAGCCTAATGATAGCAATATGGCTCGGTATTAGAAACAAGTATAAACCAGAACTTGAACACTATCAAGATACTTTTAAAAACATTTTTATTATTATTTTGTATTAATTTTAGCTGTACAGCTTGGTGGGTAAACAACTGTATAATTTACAAAGTATTCCCACTGATATTTCTATTACCTTTCTAGCACCACACATAGTTATTATAATATTTTTATGCTATACTTTACAACCCCATGACTACTTTGTAGCTATCAATTTCTACTTCTTTAAAAAATAATTTTATTGATTTCAGGGAGGAAGAGAGAGAGAGAAACATCAGTGATGAGAGGGAATCAACACTGGGCCCAATTTCTACTTCTTAATCCCTTTACCTCTTTCATCTGGTCTCCCAATCCCCATCATCTCTGGCAACTATCAGTCTGCTTATCTGTGAGTCTGTTTCTGTTTTGTTTGTTCATTAATTTTGTTCTTTAGATTCCACATATAAGTGAAATCATATGGTATTTATCTTTCTCTGACTGAATTATTTCACTGACCATAATACCCTTGAGGTCCATGCTATTGCAAATTGTAAGATTGCAAATATTTTTATGGCCAAGTAATATTCCATTATATATATACCACAACTTTTTAAAATGTTTCTTTTAAATATATATATATATATATATATATTTTTTTTTTCTTGATTTCAGAGAGGAATGGAGAGAGAGAGATAGAAACATCAATGATGACAATCATCAATTGGCTGCCTCCTGCATGCCCCCTGCTGTGGATTGAGCCCGTGACCCTGTGCCCTGATTGGGAATCAAACCCGACCTCCTGGTTTATACATTGACACTCAACCACTGAGCCTCATTGGCATCACTACACCACAATTTTTTTAATCCACTCATCTACTAATGGGCTTGCTTCCATATCTTAGCTATTGTAAATAGTGCTGCAATGCACATATGGGGTGAATATATTCTTCCAAATTAGTTTTTTGGGTTTCTAATATGAACTAATTACTGGGTCATAGGAAGGTCCATTTTTATTTATTTATTTTTTTATATTTTTATTGACTTCAGAGAGGAAGGGAGAGGGAGAGAGAGATAGAAACATCAATATGAGAGTGAATCATTGGCTGCCTCCTGCACGCCCCCCACTGGGGATTGAGCCCACAAACTGAGCATGTGCCCTTGACCAGAATCGGACCTGGGACCCTTCAGTCTGCAGGCCGACTGAGCCAAACCAGCTAGGGCCCCATTTTTATTTTTTTTAAGAAACTCCATACTGTTTTCCATAGTGGCTGTACCACTCTGTATTCCCATGAACAGTGCACAAGGGTTCCCTTTTCTCTGAATCCATGCCAACACTTGTTGTTTGTTGATTTATTGATGATAGCCATATGACATGTGTGAGGTGATATCTCATTGTGGTTAATATATGACAAAGGAGGGAAGAATGTACAGTGGGGTAAAGTCAGTCTATTCAATAAACGGTGTTGTAAAATTGTACAGACACATGCAAAAATATGAAACTAGAACACTTTCTTATACCATACACAGAAAATTCTCGAAATGGACTAAAGACTTAAATGAAAGACTCAAAACTATAAAACTCCTAGAAGAAAACATAGGCAG